TTCAATGATATTATTATACACCTAAAGTAGTCACAAAGAGGGGTGAAATGGGACGGTTTATATAATGTGGCATGTCCATACCGTTTTCAATTATTCCGTGTTATGTATCAGCTATCTTCCACTACACACCCGTACCCGCTGCGCATGTATTCACGTACGTGTGTATGTGTATATTAACGCTAAAGTGCAATAATTCAAATGCAAATTATACCCTGTTGTGCACACAGGACCTCGTTGAATGACGATGCGTAAAATTTTGCCTCAGAATACGAATTTTTAAAAATTAACTCTACAATACCGATTAATCATTTTACCGCTGTAAATGAATGCAAACATTAACGCTTATAAATTTATGATATTTTCCGAGAATGATTTATCCATATCAATTAGTAAGTTCTCAAATATACTCCATGCGCATTCCATTGAAAATTTGTAAACGATTGCAAGTGTTCGTTGTAACTCATTACAAAATAAATATTAGGTAATTGTTAACTTATTATGATAGTTTAAAAATAAAGCACCATAAATTAAGTAATTCTATAAATTTAATTTATACATTTAATGCTATTATATATATTTATATCAAAAAAAAATGTAATATATTTCTGTAAAAATATTGTTTTAACTAACAATAAGTATTTTAATGGTACATTTGCATCGGAATTCATTACAACTACATTAAAATTCTCTCTTTGTACTAATTTCTATTCACACTATAGAATATTTCCACTTTACAACTATATGTCTCACACAAATATACTTGGGCAAATTAAAAACTACACTATTATTATGTATCTATTCATTAAACTGTATTACACAATAATTTGAATTTATTACTGTTTTGTTAATCGTGTTTGATAAGGATAACGTAATAACCAAACAGCTGTGTAATTATTATGGCCTAAATACTTACACAAACCTTGAATAATCATGTATACGTCCGAATAACTATTTTAATTTGTGCTAATCAGTTTTCCAGCCAGTTTCAGATTTCAAATCAAATTTTACTGATAAGAAATCAATGTGTACAATGATCTTAGATAACTGAAATCAAATAATACCTAATATTTCTTTTATTACTATATCAGATAACCCTCTAAAAATAACTTATTACAAAATTGGTCACATGATCTCAAATATACAATCAAAAGTATTAATATTTATTAAATCAATCTGCGATTGTGATACAAATATAGTCAATAGTCATATTATTTATGATAATTTTCGATAAAAAAAAAAAAAAATAATAATTTTAATTTAAAAGCATAAGTAAAACATAAAGAAAATTGTAATTACACATTAATAATATTAACTTGATTTTATCAATATAAACAAAATCATTGATATCTCTTAGAGTTATCAAAAGATGAGAAGGTATTTAAGTGTAATAAGGTTGAGAACTAAATATTTTATAATAACAATTACTATTATTTCATAATACAATGCGAGACATAATAAAGCAGAGCAACTTCCTTGGTTAAAAAAAAAAAAATGAAAATAACCGGAATCAGAAAAAAATCATTATTTTTTTTTTTTATTATTATTTAAACAAAAGAATATTTAAAATCTGTAATATTTATATACAATGAGTAAATAAAGTAGCAAAATGTAATAACAACATAAATAACGTGAGGAAAAAAGTCCACCAATGTAAAAATCTTCTGACTTGGGGGGATAGAGAAGTTTTTTACTTAATTAAAACGGGTTTATTCAAGAGATCTCGATACCAAGCGTTTTTTTAATTGACATGGGGAGCTATCTAGGATAATTTTACTGATTAAGTTTATATTAGTGGGTTTATGTGGTGATTTATTTGGTGTACAATTTTTTATAATAATTTTTAGCTATAATAGATACTATTTCAATTTGTAAGTTTTTGTTTAATGGCAAATTTTAGGTGTACTGGAACGCAGATGCAATTTGGCAAAGAAATATTGATTGAAAACCTTGAATGATACTTTTTTTAATAAGACTTGGCACACCCCCATATTTAAATGTCATAGGCCCGAATAGGGTTTGGTGTCGATTTATATGTTAATTGTTTGTTTTTGATCGAGATTTTGGACTTGAGAATAGGAGTGTTAAGTCTAGTGATGAGAACCTTCCTTTTAGTTTTTAGGTGTGAACCTTAAGTTAGACTCTTGTCTACGATTAAACCTAAACATTTAATTTAAGTTATAGTTGGATTTGATTTTTTTTTTAAGTAAATTGCAGTTAAGACACCTTTTCTTAGAGTAAACAGGATGTGAAAAAACTTATCTGAATCAATTTTGATTTTCCACTAGGGAGATTATTTTAAATTATTTTCTAATATAAATTAAGAGGTTTTGATATGCTGTTGTTGAGTCAGAATGTGATGAGAGAATTACCGTATCATCAGCGTAAGTAGCTATCAGCATATTTTCAGAGTTTGGAATGTCAGCTAAGTAAATTTTGAAGAAAACTGGTGATAAGTAGTTTCCTTGCGAGTTTCCTGTCAAAATTTTAAATTGCGATGAAAAGGATTTTTTTTTTTACTATGAAAAATTAAAGTTTTTTATTTATTGTTATTTTATATTTGATATTTACACAATTATTCATATATTTGAAAAAAAAAGTATAAGACACTAAATAAAACAATAAACGACATAAAAAATAAGGCTGACGATCAATTTAAAAAAGATTTTTTTTAGAATTTTTAAAGAAAATAAGTAAGATACCCAAAAGCATTAAAAAAAATTAATATAAATCAACTATCAAATAATTTTTTTTTTCATTTTCTTAGTTAAAAACATAAAATGGCTAGAGCTTAAATTATATAATATTAAAACAAAAATAATAATATCATACATAATATTTTTCTACTCTTACAATTTTTCATAATCATTGCAACTTGTTCAACATTTTTCGTAATATTTTTTATAAACAAATCTTCTTTATAGTAACTACTAATTATAATTTTATGATTACTCAAATGTCTCAAACACAATTTTATTTTGAATAGATTAAATATTTATGCTATTTGCATAATATTATGTTATTACTTATTAATTATTTGTTTAAATAATACAAATATATATATAAATATTGGTTATTTTAACACGTGTACTCGTATTTAACCAAAAAAACTAATAATTAGTTGGAAAATTATTATTTAGATTTTCGATATAATTTTCTGTTAATATTTTGATAACATTTTTTAAGTTATTTTAAGTAATAATTATAAAAACACTATTCTTTGTAGTTATGAATGTTATTATTGTTATAAACAGCGTTCCTGTATAAACAAACACATAATTGTGGTGCTATTTGCTGTTGATCTACGCACAATTATGACTGGCATTAAGAATTACTTTAAAGCCGTAAAAAAGGAATACCAATAACTGTAAAAATTATACTATAGTACGATGAATATAAAAAAAATATTGACGATTGCATCCAGGATATTAATTTGTTAGTTTGGTGGCTGTAAGATATTAGTGTGTATCTAAAACAAAACTCCGCCATATTCAACGATAAAATTTATGGTCGAGTTTTTATAAAAAACTCTGATGGATTGGAAAGGAGGAAGAGAATTGAACGAGTAAAGCTTTACAACAGTTGATCGTTAACGTAGTGGCCGACCGTGATGGCAGGTTTAATTTAAGCATTATGCGAGAGCAATGTAAATGGTTACAAAAAAACATTTTTTACCATTAAGATGTAGTTAGGACCCGAAAGATATTATTCAAACAACGCGGTAGCAGTCTCGTATATATGCGAGAATACATGTATATGTGGGTTGTGGGTGAATATGGTACGCATGCGCTGGGCACCCTTCATACATAGTATACCGGAGGTTGGACAAACGCTGCTCATAGCCAAAGACATCAAACAGATGGCCCTCGAGTGCTTGTAATGACTGTCAGTGTATACCGTGACAAATGACACCACCACCACTCGTCCACCTCACGAAAACTATACGTCATATTATTATCTTGACTTCTGCCACTTCTTCGTCCTCGTCGTCGCAGCCCGTTTCTTCGAGTGGATTCGTAGCAAACGAGTGTATGCGTGAAAGAAAAGCTCGAATACACATCCTAACCCAACCTAACCTGCATACAAAACGAGAATAAAATAAAAAATGTATATTGTATAAAAAAAATATACAATAACAATAATGACGATCTGCCCGAGCATTATATGTGTAGCTATAGCTTACAAACTTCACATCTGTGGCCAAATATTTGGATATAAAAAACCACGATTGTTTCAACATCATGAACTTCGATTTTCGAAGATAAAAATTACACATATAAATTAATATTTATTATAAATGTTGTTTTGTTTAATATCACAAACGATCCAATTCATAAAAATAAAAAAAATATATAAATGCATTTCATTGTATTAATGTATTGGTACGTTGCCATAAGCTGTATAGTTTACACGAATGATGCACATTTTAATATAACTGTTCGAGGTAACATTTCTGCAAGCTCAATATTCTTGACAATTATTCGGTTAAAAACGGAAAAAATAATCGAATGTATTAGGTATAATATTATGACAATCATTTATATTGTTATTCATTATGAAAATATGCGAGAAAATATCAATTATTTTAAAACAAATAGGGATTGAACAAAAAAATTCTATGAATCATTAAATAATGATGCTAACTTAAATAAATAATAAATATCTTAAAATATATCACCCTTGTTATTTGTATCTACAAACAAAAGACACTTCTCTAGTTTTTAACCGAAATTCTGGTTAATTGTCAATCATTATCCACGACTGATTTTTCGAAGTTAAATAGGCAACCTACACCTGATACTTAATAAACTATTACATAATAATTATTCGATCAAAGTACTCCTTACGGTAAAATCATTTTTTATACAGTATAATAAACAAACTAATAATTTATTAAAACTATTAATTCTCTATAATTAATAATTAACAAGGCACGGATAGTAAAAAAATGTTACTTTTAACCTGTTACTTGATTAATTATTTATACCAATTATATTTTTTAGAACCCATAACAACAATTATTGGAGGTCCTGACATGTTTATCAATAAGGGAAGTACTATGAACTTAACGTGCATCATAAAGCATAGTCCAGAACCACCACCACTCATTTACTGGACACATGACTCAAAAGTAAGTTTTTTTTTTTTATGTTTGGAATAAAAGATTTTTACGAAAATATCTATTGTATTTGGATTAAAAAAAAATCAACGTTATTCTAATAGGAGAATAATATAATATATATTATAATTTAATATAGGTATTTAATGTTTGATACTAAATATTTTAATTTGTCTAAATATTTAAAACTTATTTTGTAATATATACATTATTATAGCTACTAAAAATGTAATTAAATAGAAATACATAAAACAATTTTCAATTATACATTTTGTATTATTAAATAAATTCAAATTTGGTTTTCATTGAAATATAATACTAAAATGGATTAATTATTATTATCTAGATAAAAATATAAAATGAAAATTAGAATTGTAAAACAGTTTCAAAATATATTGCTTTAAATATTCAATACTTCATGAATTCAATATAGCAATAAGTTAAAAAATGCAAATTAATTAAAATAGAACAAAAACATCAAAATACAAATTTTAATTTACAAAGCTTACCTTTTATAGATCCTTATTATAATGTTTTAATGAGAAGTTTTCAAACTTAAAACATTAGCATATTGGATATTCCCTTTTACAACGCATAACTTGATCAAAAATGAATGATTTTATTTTAATTTTATAAATTTAAAAAAATCAAACCTTATTTCTATATAATATAAATCCTTATTATTTATTATACTTAGTGATAATGCAGATAACTAAAATACATTTTATTTTTCAAGTTTAAAATTTACCCACCGTAATCAAATACATTCATTATACTTTTATTCAGTTTATATATAAGTAGCTTACATGTATAAATACCTATCATATATATAGGTTTAAATACGTATAATAAATCTCTAAAAAATAAATTTCAGTAAAAGAAACTCACAAGTATATCAAGTTCTATGACTACATCTTATATTATAATATGCTAAATTTAATATCATAATTTACGTGTTATTCACTAAGTAAAAAATTAGTTATATTTTTTGTTTTTAGATAAAATCTAAATACTTGTAGTTAATTTATAAATTGTCTTCTAAAAAACATAATTAACACAATCACTAACATATTTCTATGACCTATTTAACTTAAACCTTTATCATGGCATTATGGTGAGTCAACAACTAGGGATTGTCAATATAGAATCTTATTCCTAAGGGAACAGTAACTGACTAGTTCTACTGCACTAACCAGCTCGAGGGATAGGTTGTTAAATAAACAAAGTTTTCAGTTCCCATAACTACAGCACATTTATCTCAAACAACTAAAATAATTAATATTAAGTTTTTACAATTTGTATTAATATATTTATTTATATTATTATTATTATTATCTATGGTAGAAACTAAAAAAACGTGTTCAATATTATAATATCTCGCTTATTTATAAATAACATCATCGTATTCCCACATTCACTTCTAAAAACTAGACGATATTCGCCAACTAAGTCTTCACACTTCCCTATGATTGGCATGTCATATTTCTTTGATTATTATAATAATACTAACATTTTACTATAGAACTGATCTACTTTCACATCATTTTCACCTGTAGCAGGAGCATAAACTTGTAATATAAATGTATTATGTATATATGTATATTCATTGAATTTCCAATAAATTGTATTATTATTATTCTATCTGGTACTGGTATAAAATTAAAATCTATAATATTGTTTTGTATTCTACTTGGTCACGACCAACTCCATAAATATACTTATTTTCTTAATTGACAGATAATGCCCTTTTATCTTTCCTTTCAATTAGGTAAATATAAGTGGCCCTCTAAAATTCATTCTTAACTTTATTTTTTCTTAATGCAGCTATGCGATTTGAATTTTACTTATTCAACAATTATTTTAATTTTTATTTGCTCCCTAAATAATATGTTATAATAATTAAAACACAAATAATTTAATTAAAATTACTAGTATTTAAAACACTTATATTTTATGTCATGTAAATAGATAAATCAAAATTTAAACATATTATATACAGCTCATGTTTGATTACTATAATTTTTGATTTATGTATTAAACTCTTACCTTTATACTAATATTAGACTAAGTTAATCTATACTTTATCACCTTCAAATAATAATATACAACTTTGAGAAATGTATTTAACACTATTTAAATATTTTTTATTTAAATTTGTTAACTTAATTAACTACAACATAAATTCAATATAATATCATAATTTTATTTTAATTCAGAAATCCCTAAAATTATCTATTTTTACATCAAGCAAGTCTGCAGACAAACTAATAAATAACTTTAAACGTGTTTATTTATTTATAAATAAATATAAATTAAACAGGAGTATAACTATTTAGATATTTAAATGTTTGATTCGATTTTTTAAGTCTATTTTTAAAATTAAATCTAATTCTTTAAAATTTAGAATTATTATTTGAAATTTCAAAATATAATTGTATAATAACTAAATTTTTCTTAGAATTAATACAAAAATTTTTAACATATTTGCTATATTAGTTACATAGGTAACTTCAAGTAAAATTATTCGTGAATTAAATTTATATCTTTTTCCCCACTAAAATAGAAAATTCAAATAATATTTACTTATATTTACTCACAAAATATAAACTTAGACATAATTCAATTTGATTTATTCGTAAGTATTCCGTAATATATCAATAGAGTTTCCGTTTTTTTGACCATTAAAAAGCATAATATATTTTCATCGTCGGAATTATAGAATATTTTACTCCATAGACTAGTTATCGTAAGGCTTAGTTTTAGGTCGTCAAATATTTTTGATTTAAATAATCTGAACTAGCGATTGGCAATTTACAAATGCTATGCGCTATAAAAACATTTCTCAAAAAACTATGAACATAACTTAGTTTATTATTATAATAATCAATAAACATTATTCTGATAAAATAGACTCATATTACTTATTAGGTATTAGTAACATCATTTTGTTACAAATAACTGTATAGATAACCAAAAACATTTTGTTAACTATAAAGGGTTTGCAATCAGTTATAATCGATTGTCAATTTCAACTTACTGTAGTCTAATCAGACATACAGTTGTATAATTCACCACGTTCACAGTAATTTCATTAACGATAAGATGCCATTTACTATTTAATGTACTTAATACCATGGTATTCATTAGTAAGTTATGAGTTGTAAATCTCTATTCAGACAAAAATATGTTTTTAGATATATTATATAAATAAAAACACAACATAATTAATATTGAACATTTTCATAACTATTTTTTTTTTTTTTTTATAACAGCACAATAGATTTATTTTTAACTTAGTTGTCTAAACAGAATATGAGATATTAAAATCCCTCAAAGTAATTATGCTGTCATTTTGTGTGATTTCTATATATTAAATAGTATTTAAGTTTAGAAAAATAATAATCAATAAAATTTTTAACACGTTGTATATCTTAAACATCATGGGAAAAAGTCATTTGGTATCAATTTATTTATAACCTTGAGAATTTCTTATTCTACCTTTTAACTTTTCTTAGTAGTTAAAGTTTTCTAATATTAAATGAGATATTCAAGAGATCGTACACATTGGGTCATAAATAATGAAAGTTTTCTAAATAAAAATCCAAACATACTATTTTACGACGACAATGAACCTTCATTTTTTTTTGCTTTTTTTTTTGTGTGTTTTTAATATCACTCTCCAGTATACTTTCCTGCGTTATTTAAGTTGAAAGAAAAATATATTCCAGAACCAAACTTTTGCTAGACATGTAACAAATAAAAATAAAAACAAAATCCTCGTAAATAAAAATAATGCATTTTTTTCGCGCCATAATATTTATGTCGGGTGAATTGTTTTTCACATATTATTGTTTACGTAGTAATGCGATTACAAAAACAAAAGGACCCCACTCATTTTGGCTTAGACACGAACTCTAACGAGGTTTCGTTTGCAACCGTTCTCTAGATTTATTTTCATTATTTTATTTTTTATGTTTTTTTTTTTTTTTATTATCATTATTTTATTTTTATTTATTTTTTTTTTTTTTACTATTGGATTGCAATTGCCTTGAGTTTCCCTTTTTCAGTGAGCCAGAAAATTAATTAAAAAGCAGATTAGCTTTAAAAAAAAAACCTCATAATTTGGTGTGACAATGGTTTTAAACCATCATTAAACAAATATTATACGTTTTGATTAGATTATAGTAATTTTAGACAATTTTAAACAATTAACAGGATGTCAAATCTTAATATTACAATTTTTATAGCATTTCGTAGATAATTAGTAACATATCATTAAACTTCTCGATACTGCATCAGCCCCTTATTATAAGAAACATTTAATGAATGATGAAAAAAAAAAAAACCTTTTTTTAAGCGGTTCCTAACTATGAACAGTATATTTATCAGGCTTGCTTTTGATTCGGGTAGAAGCATAGAACATATTTCAGAATGAAATACACTATAAAACGGGTAAGCAAGACTTGTGGTGCTATATAATTAAATATGCAAGCAATGTTCCATAAGCCGTCGCTAACAAAAACGATTCTATATAATACAAAATTATATTCATGGTATATCAGAATCAGTAATAACTCATAAGGCAGATAATTCCAAGATCTATATAATTCGAATTTTAAATTACGATTGTATTTTTAATAAAAATAATACAATACATCAGATATCTTAATAATTTTGACGTTTATTGATTTTTATAAAAAATGTAAGAATGGTTAATTTTTTTACAATTTATACTTCATATACTACAAAGTCATAAATTATTTAATGAAAAATAAAAATAAATAAAACTGTAATTTTAATAGTTATTTAAAAGATTTGAAACAAATTTCCAGTAATATTATTGCTATATTATTTTTAAACTAATAAATGACTAGCACATTAATATAGCAAAGCACCCTGTTCTTGACTTTGAGATCGCCATGTATATATTTTAAAATATCCATAATAATATTTTATCACAATACTACTTATTTAATCAATGTCTATAATAGTACCTAGTATTTTCAAAAAAA